CTAATTATGGTGACATTTGATTTTCCAGTCTCCTCACAAACTCTGATGCTGCCCAGCAGACGTTCAGAGCACAGATCGGAATCGCTGGTGCGTCATACTATTGTTTGAAAATCAGACAAGAAGTACGATGAGGAACCTTAATGGGAAGAAAAAGCAAAAAGCATCATAGAAAACACTGAAATTTCCCTTGTGAGGTCGGCCGTGGTATGACGGAGAGACACAGCGCTGCGAGGAGAGGGAAAACGCGAGAGAGCACGTCGTACGCGAGAGGGCGCAAACGCCACGTATGCCGCGAATGATATGTCGAGTGGCAGCGCGGCAGCGTACAAAGCAAGCTTTAACGACCACACCGCGCACTTTTGAAGCGCGGCTCCTAGGCTTGGGGACCCTTTCTTCGACTCCATGAAGGACTGCCACTCGGTACTTGAACCCGACCAGTAGCTGTAACCTGAGGAATCGTCTGTGAAAGTTGACCTTCATAACCAGGAAATTCGTCCAGGACGTGAAGTGCTTTTTCAAAACGGTTCGTTACGTTATAAAGAAACGAGCGTGAAGTATAAACTGAGGATAATTTTGTCCAAGCGGTATTGCTATTACCAGCAAAGTGCAAAACACTTCTCTCTGAAACTTTCACATTTGACGGATACACTAAAGCGTTTGTAGCGTTGATAGTTGCATTAGAAGGTTTTTGTTCAGCGAATGAGTTTAACACATATGAGGCCAACAGAAAATCAGGGAGATAAATAAATTTGTTCCCAGTGGGTACCGAACAGCAAGACATGGTTTTCACATGTTTTTTCAGAGCCAGAGCCAGTCAGAGCAGCTCAGGAGGAAAAGAACCTCAAATTTATGCTCTCCGTGCCTGTCCCACTTCCAGAAACGCTCCACGTCCTGAAAGAATTCCCTGATAAGCTGCGTTAACTTCTGACTCTGCCTGTGTCGCATTTATGAAATTCATTGTCGGAAACAGTGCCCGATCAGCGAAGGATTAGCTCAATATTACATCATGAAGATGAGGTCTATCTTCGCTACTCCGCTCAGTCCTGCCACAGGTATGGTTCGCATCCCAGAGAAAGATTGATCAGCGCCAAAGGATTCACACTATTTTTCTTAGTTCGCTTTTCCACATGAGACTATCAATCGGGACATTTAAAATCGCTTGAAAGTGGGCTTCTTAGTGGTGGTAGTGGTAGTTATACAAATTGATTGCGTCCACCTCTCGACAAAATTAGAAACACTTGTTTTTCTATGCCGAGTAGTGGGTGGGCATAGTATGTGATGTGCTGATGGAACACATGTGGCGCATCCTGCGCACATTAAACAACGCGTGCGTAATGGCGTGGATGGTCCTTACACACTGAAATATTTACGACGAGATACGCAGAAAGAATGGAAAATGCTTAATCGCAATGTTTTCGCCCCAGTTATTATTATTTATTATTACTATTATTCTGCTCCCACACTATATGTACGAGTGCTGAAAAATCATAGGAATTAAGCCGCAAGAGCTGAGTTAAAGTGCAACACGGCTTTGGTGGCAGAGTGAGCATCGTGTCGGCGCTCCTCTATGGCATGTAGGTCCCCGTGCGAACTCTTTCCTATCCCCCATACCCAATACGACCCCCCTCTTGTCAATGCTGTTGATAAGGTCGCTGAATCTAGATCAACTCGACACACTGCAGCTCTGCCCATGAAATTTCTCAAAAAGAGTCGTGAAATTTTATAAGGCTATTTCGTTCTCTCACCCATTCCCGTTGCTCAAGCAAAGATACAAAGAGTGCAAACATGAGAATAGCTTACTTGCACAACCTCTACGAACACTGAGAAGGAGTGGGAACACTGTTTTCCGCCGCGCATTTTTAGCATTTTATTGGCACAGGACGTCTTGAGGGCAGCGGGTGCCATGGCCAAGAGGCGGAGCGGTTTAATGACGTCATGGGACGCTAATGGTCGAACAGACCCTTCAGTGAGTGGTACCGCGTCCTCTCCAACGACAATGACACCGTGAAAACCGCTCACTTCTCAGCCATCGCATACATAACCTTTGGAGGCATCGGGAGCGCTAATACGGTCACCCGCCGGAAGTGAACCCTTTTACCTCTTTTTCATACATTCCAAGTAGAGGAAAACTTTGGGAGTAAAAGCCATCCTGCAGCAACGCGTTCACCGCTCATTTGTCATGACATTGTGTGAGTAAAGAAGCTGAGAGCAATTAAGCGGACCATCGAGTTACTACAACAAATTCTGAGCTTATAAGCGCCTTGGGCCAGATGTTTGTGCAACATCTGGAATTGCACGCTCTTCTTGCCCAGAAGTTTTGCATTCCGCAGCTTTCGCTTTTTGAAGTTCCACTCATTCAAGCAAAATCAGAAATCACTTGTGAGTAATCTCAAAGATTGGTTGATTCCCACGCTTCCCTTGAACTTTACAACGGAACAGACGTGATTTGCTTTCGGATGCACTGAGTCTATACAGCTGACCACACGCTAACGGCCACTAGTATCATTTTGTGCAAGAAGGAGATCATTGACAATCCATCCCACTTGCATTTCAGGGTAAGTGTCGGTACAGAGCGAATGGCATCCAACGGGAGAGTTCATTCTGATAACTACTTCCTGATTAGACAGGACAAGGTTTGAATGGGAGTTTGACCTCACTGCTATGAAGCCACTCTGATAAATTGAAAGTAAACCAACCCTGAACAAAAGGGAAAGGAAAGGGACCTCCATCCTTGTGTTCTGTAAACTCCGTAAGCGCCTAGGACTCTCGCACTTGGACGTGCTATTTCCAGGTCTTCCTAGGGTCCAGTTCGTTATGTGGTACTCGCAGTAGTGGGAGGAATGCTTGATTTCTGAGAACGGTAAGTGCGCAATGTACGCAACCTATGTCTCGCGAGATGCGGGTATCAGGTAGGAGTACCAGGAGTTCTGCCAATCCGTGAGGCTTGGCGGTTCAGCGTTTTGTAGTGATGTCTGGGAGCTCTCACAAGTGCACACTATCACAGCATCTCCTCTTTCTTTATCTTCTTCAAAAGGCTTAGTCCCAATAAGACACAAAGTGTGTGCTTTTCCAGCTACGCTCTCACCCTTTGGTTGACAGAAGCCTTGTAACCGATGCTATGGGGATCACTAAACACCATCCATTTTTTTTACCTCTACGCTATTTTTTTCTAGACAAAAGCGATAAGGTAAAGTATTAGGTGTTGTCAATCCCGTTTTGAGACGCGCCACGCATTCCACTTCCATTCAGAGTAGCGGTGACAATTTGGCTTCTACAATGACATGCAAGGGCCAGTCGATGTATAAGCTACTGTTTTTCGTCTACCAGTTAATCGACCACGGAAAGATGGAAGGCTTGGTTGGTGCAGACGATGCACGAGCCAGGACCGTGCGCGTGGTGAGCAGCGCCGCTTGCTGGTACACCAATTCTGCCCTTTTGCTAGATCTTTCGAATGAACCCTGATGCTCAAACCTACACTCGAAAGACGTAGGGCGAGAGCGCGCTAAATCTCAAGAACAAGAACAATTACGTAACGTACATAATTGAGCAAACGTAAGCCGTTTCCGGGGTCCCTCCCACTCCTAAGCTTAGTTATCGTCAATCAGTCATCATAACCAATTATAATCGACCCTGATTGGCACTATAAACGACATTTTGAAATACTCTTTTACTTACACACCTACAACTTTATTGATTAGGGTTCTATCTTCTTGTAAAAGAGCACCGCCTGCCCTGATCCCGAAAGAACATCTGTTTTCGCTTGCAATGTTAACTGTAAAGCCGAAGGATTCCAGGTCCGACCACTTCATATAAAAACAGACTCACAAATGTTTTTGAACAGCGATTTCGAAAATGCGTTCCAAATTTCTGTGGGAAGGGTTTGTGAAGGGGAGCCTACTTCAACACAATAGTGAGTGAAGGCATGTTCAAAAAGCCCGTTGGCGTGCCAGATGTGCGAGAATGGCCTAGCGACCAGGACTGCGGGTTTGCAGAATCGAAGTCGGGGATAAGTTGGATAGCCACATTCTGCAATCGCAGCAGTACTGCTAACCTACTGACTCGAAATGCGCTGAAAGGGGCGCCAGGGCTTTGTCGCCTAGGTGTAGAAGGTCGCAGAGCGCTGCGCGCCCTACACCCGGCCCGTTCTTTATTACGACCTGTACAATCGCAGCTTCACGGCCTAAGATAGGGGATTTCATGCAGTCCTTGAATGCGTCTATTTCAATTTTCGAGTCTTCCGAAACACCAGCGCATGTAAGCAACAAACATATTTAATACATTCTGAAACAATACCTGGTTACTTTTCCTGGATTTGCTAACTTCCTGCTTCCAGCTCAAAGAAAAGATGTGGATAAACCTTCGTCGTTAGAAGTTAAGGGGCTAATTTGTGCAGTGGTGAGGAAAAGAAAGTAGGCGATCTGAAAAGCCCAAAATGAGACCTTTCGATCATATATTTCCGCTTGAAAAGAATTTCTTAGCTACTTATTTCATCAACGTGAACACACTGCTCTCGCTTTCTGCCAGATAGCTAGAATCAGACGGCGAGAGATCAGCTGCTGGATTAAGCTAATAGGAGGGCAAGCAGAGGTACGATGGCGTACAGAGAGGTGAGAGAAGCTCCGCTACGTTGTCATTGATGAACCCTTCCTCAAAATCGCCGCGATTCAGTCCCCTGGGGATATAGCCACCTTTTGCAGTGAGCAGATTTTTATTTATTCAATATCCGATCTGTCGGAACACCTACTTTCGAGTGATGGCTATAACTGATTCCACTTGACTCGAGATTGAATATGGACACGTCAAAGTGGTACTCAATGATGATTCTCATGCCAAGAGAATGCGAACTCTAGAGCTCTTTTCCTTCAGTGTCCTCAGAAAAAAACCATAGTAGCAAAACTGAGAGGTACAAGAGATTGCGACAAACAACACAACAAGCTGCATAACCTTTATGTGTAATAGTATCAGCACGTTTACAAAGTAAATGTCAGCCAAGTTTGCGTTTAGGCAACTTCAACTTCTTTTCCAGCTGGGGCTGGCTTGGCTGACTCGGCTGCCTGAAAAGACTCCATAAATATAAATAAAACTCCAACAAAATTGTACGATATCACAAACCGGTTCTGGCTCTTCATCTTCGAATTCCTTGCTGGGCAACTGCAACGGAATCGGAGCCACTGGAGGTCGAGCTGCATCTCCTTCGGCCTTCACCTGTTCCACGTACTTTGGTGGTTCAAGGTTTTTGCTAGAATCGAGAGAATGAGTAATTGAACAACTCGTCTCAAATGACTTTGGAGAAGGGTTTACTATACCGAAGCTGTTCGAGCTCCTCGTTATCCTTGCGTCCCCAGTCACTTGGTGGGCGAGCCGTTCCATGAGCAATGGCTGGTGGCTTAGGCACAACCGGTTTCTCGAACATGATGCGGCGATCGACGTAGGATCTACAATCTCTACCTCTAAATTCGGTGAGAAACTGTTAATAGAACTTAGAGCAGAGCAACTAAGAGTTAGTAGTTTTCTAGTGAAGCAGTACAAAGTAAGTTCTAACCGTCTATCAGTCTGACGGTCGAACTTCGACGCGGTGGTGACCTTTGGTGGGTGTTGGGACGAAGCTGCCTCCTCTGGATCGAGACCCTTCTGGAGAGCCTTGTTGCGAGCCGCCTGTCGCTGACGCTCGTGCAATTCTTTCATCTAAACATATTGTGTGCACGTTAAATGATTGATTGGATCTATATTCACAGTTCACATACGTCGTACTCTTGGCGTTCTTGGCGTTTCTCCAAATCATACTTATCGCTTTCGAGCTTGGCAATTCTCTCATGAAGAGCCTTAATTCGGGCTTTCAAGTCGTTAGGTAGCAGAGCGGAGATATCCTGCACACGGCAAACAGAGGCGATGTAAGCGCGTTTCGCTTCCTCGACCTGCTCCTTGCTGAGACCGTCCTTCTTCTTGACCTAAAAAAGCTCAACAATGGAATATTTCACTTTAACGTTCAGTTGACAGGCTACTGAGTTCATTCTTGCATCCTTACCTGAGCCAGGTTACCAAACTGAGCTGCCTTGTCAGTTTTCTCAACGGTGAAATTCTTGCCGCTTCCTGGTAGCACTTGGTGACCAGCGAATGAGCCGGCCATCATTTGTTGACGACGCAGTCTCTCGTCATTCTTACGATTCTTCTCAGCATCACTCTTAGCCTTGCGCTCTTCCTGCAATTTTGATGGTGTTACAGGGTTTAAGCCATATTTCACCAAGACAAGCTAACAATGCAATAAAGTTGCAGAATAAGAGAGACCGATGACCAGTAAACTCGCAATCGCCCACCTCCTCCTTACGTCTGCGCTCCTCATCCATGCGACGACGTTCAGCGAATTGGCGCTCGTCTTCCTCACGCTCCGCACGACGTCTTTCCTGCTTCTCTTTAAGTTCTCGAAGCTCCTGCTCCATCTTTTCCTTCTCAGCGATACGACGCTGCTCGTAATCGAGCATCTTGAGCGCTTCCTCTTCTTCATGACGCTTCTTTGCTGCCTACAAATAGATCTTTACGATGGAGTAAATACAGAGAAGTCGGCATCCGGCACTCAACTGAAAAAACCGGCTCTCAACATATCCCCATCAAAAAAAGGTTTATAAGCCTTTTACCAACCAAAGAGTGAGAGTGTAGATGGGAAAGAATACACTTTGTGTAGAACCTACTATGACCAAGCTTTTACATTAAATTAAGAAAAATCAGAAATGCTGTAGTAGTGTGCAGATGTAAGAGCTCCCAAATAGCAGTATGAAAGGCCAATTTACCAAGCCTCTCGGTTGATAGGGTTCCTGACAGCTCAAAAAAGTACCTATCACGCAACCACCCACGCAAGGACTACCGTAATCCCGCATTCCTACAGTCGGTCCCGGTAATATATACAAACAGAAAGACAGCGAGAGTGTAGTAATCGTATCAGCGCTTAATTGTAGTGATTTAGAGGTTTTTAAAACGACTCTGCACTCACTACAAATCTTAGAGGCTAACACTACCGTGATGGATCCTTTAGGCGTAATCATCCTCTCCGAAGGATTTATCAGCAAGTACCGTTCCAGTAAACGGACTGAACATGGAATAAGTGAATAGGGGAGGTTCTCACCAGCATAGCAGCTTCGGCTTCTGTCAACTCCGCTGGAGGTCTCTCTTCCTGTTGTGGTGGAGCACGGGTTTTTGGCCTAAAGCTTGTAGAAATAATGCAGTCCGACTTCCATTGAATCTGATATGACTAGAACCTACTTCTCCTCCTCAACAGCTGGTGCCTCCTCTTCCTTCTTCTCCTCATGTCTGAAAGTAGAGCAAATTTCCCTGGATACTTAAAATATAATCTTGTCACACTCACTGCTCCTCTTCTGCGGCCTCCCCCTCGTCCTCGAGCTCTTCCTCCTCCTCCTCCTCAGAGCTACAAGCAGCATTTAGAAACTATGCAAGGTAATTGAATACAAATATCACTCTCAGAAACTACACACTGAAAACTCACTACACTTCCTCCTCTTCGGACATGTTTGGTAACTGAAAGAAAACTATTACTGTACCACTCAATAAAAGCTATTGGCAGAGAAGAAATATGAGAAAGACAAGATCAAAAGGAGAGCTGAAGCTCCGACGTAGCTTCAGCCAGCGACACTACGGAGCATATGTCAGATCAGCGATCGCATCAGGAGACGCGATGAGGGAGGGCCGAAGTCTCGTAGCCAGTGTAAACTCCTCCACTAACCCTCGCGTAGGCGCCGCTGTGATACAAAGCAAGACCAAGCACATTACACTCACCCGTCCACCACATATTTAGCTTTTTCAACGACCCAGTGTTCGAGCCAGACGTCCAGTCTGTCTTCACAAAGATCATGTTCCATTAGTACACTACACAATTAGATTAGTATTAGAAATCTTTATATTTAAACAAACAAGTAAAACATTATTAAACATGCAACATTAATATATAGGGCCCGGATTCGTCAATACAATATGTTATCACGTATTATCACAGATCTCACCGAGTATCGCACAGGTAACAGTCTAAAAGGACAGATGTCTCTGGGAGGATTGGTTACACGATATACGGCTCACTCAGGAGGACATTTATGACCTAATAGGCTTTCGTTACTGAATCTTGTTGCTGGGCAGAACATTGGGGTACGTTGTCAGGCCAATCACAAACTGACAGCTTCGGATTGAACACTGTACCGCTTGGACAGCGCATCGACTCCAACCGATCCCATACACATCGGTAGAACTGCTGACAGTCCGATTCGTTCGCGACAAAGTCACCGTGACTCGCTCCGCGACAGCCACGTTCCACTGGAATCAACAATCAAGGTCATCATCAATTTTAGCGACTGACATGCACACCCGCGTCATTCGTTGAGGTGCAAAGTTAAAACGAAAGTGCACCTCTATTGAACGCCCATTTTGGATTGCGTGCAGTTACAGCTCAAACGCTACACTGCGCGTGCCCTTTTCATATTAGTTTCTGCACCACTTATTCGATTATCATGCTCAGCCATTTAGTCCCACTCAATTTCTTCGTTTCAGTTTTAGGACCAAGCCTTGGAGGGGTGGGGGAGGAGAGCTTCGAGTGCTACCATATTCCTCGGGGTTCCTCACTCCTCGTTCCCCTCCTATACTTACCAGGGAAGGCCAGTTCCCATGGGACTTTAGATTAGACCCAGATATATCGATAGAGCTTCAAACGCTGATTACAAATATGGAAACTAAAACTGCAAAATGAACCTGCCAAGGAAGTTGTGAGCAGTCAAAGTTGGCTGGAAGTAAAAACATATGAACCGTGCTAGCTCCGGGCTTTCAGAGTCGCCGTGGAGTAGTGGTAGTGCCCTCGCTCTCAGCCGGGAGGTCATGAGTTCTCCCCCTGTTGGAAGTGCAAATTTTGAGAGCACTACCACTACTCCACGGCGACTCTGGTGCCCGGACGCTAGCACGGTTCGTGCGTAACGCTTTCTTGCAGCCAACTTTGACTGCTCACAACTTATTTGGCGGATTCATTTTGCAGTTTTGCCCACATTTGTAGCTGGCGCTTGAACCTCCACCAAAATAAGTCTGAACTCAAAGTTCCATGGCAAGTGGAGTGCCTTCCCGGTTAGTTACTTTATTCGCATGATCCCATAACAAAAGCGTCACAGATGACTCGAATAACGAAGCAGTAACGATTACAATTGTAATAGCGTCAATCCATCCCTTGCATGGGGTTCACCGGTTCAAGGTGTCATTGCATCTAGGGAGGCGGTAAAATTGCACGCGGCGCTCGAATAGGCGTTAAAATAAAGCGCAACATCATACTAACTTGCAACTCCATTTATACAAGTGCACATTAACAACCAACCATTTCCTTCGTCTGCTGCTTGTCGACATTCCGGGACTGCTTCCCTATAGTCACACTTGGCAGTCAACTCATTAAATACAAGCCCCGATGTGCACGATGGATATTCGAAGACATCACCACCGAAGCACTGAAGTGGAACAGCATAAGAGAAATATCAAAAGTAAAGAAAAGAACAACTAGGACCCACCTGAAGTATAGCGGTGCAGTCCGACGGATTTCTGTACAGACCATCTGTACGCGTTTTGCAGAACATTGCAGGATCACTGCTCGGTGCCGACATGTATGGTTGCGGAGATCGTTGCGGAGCGGAACGACATTCGGGAGCGTTGATACGCAATACGCAAGCACCAACCGCAGATGAGAACACTTCGGCTGTGGTTGCACACGATTCGACAACGGCCTCACCGCCCATGCATCGAATGTAGGACGATCGGCACCGGCCCATTGGTTTCATAGCTCCTTCAAGGCTGTTGTGACAACGATCGTCTTTTCGAGTTGTATGTTTGACCGTATCCTTAGCCACCTGTGCAGCTGCTTCTGGAGGTGCATACGTAGCCTAAACACGAACAACACAATGCATATGTACCCTTGACCGAAGCCTCAACCGCGTCAGACCTACCTTACTAATTAGCTCCTTCAGGTGTTCTTGACCGCACTGTTCCGAAGGTACGCAAGTGCTCAAGTGCGAATCGAACAGGAATCCAACGCTACACTCTTTTCGCTCCAGCACACCATGCACAGTGCACATACCGTACACTCGTGAGCAATAGTCAAGAGCAAATGCTGGGCGTTCATCACTGTACACGCAAGTGAGTGGCTGAAATCAGCGAAACACTGGTGACAGAGGGACAATCTGAAGGGCTAAAGCGTCTCCAGAACGATTAGGTTCCATGTAACAACCAAAACTTACCGCAGCAGCTGTGCTTGTTGCCGTAGTAGCATCGTACGATGCAACAGTTGGCACAGTCGCGTCGTTCTCTGCGGAATCTGCATATTGTTCCTTGAACTGTTCACAATCTGGTACAAATTCACGGAAGTCGCATGACAAAGTAGCCGGATTGAACACTAACGGTTTTGCACAGTCAAATTCTGGAAAAATGGTGGCGCTTTCAGCGATACACGGTGCAATTGCACTAAGCAGCTTAAGAATAGAACCAGAATATCACTAGTGTAGTAAGCATTTGGCTCATTAAGCAGCCATTGTACTCACCACTCTTGATTCCATTCGAGCATACTAGGAATTTTGACGCGCAACGACCCATCGGCTGCGGATCTTGTGAGCAGGAACTGTCGTGAGAAGCTGGTGTGGTTGTTCGGACTACAATCGGTTTCGGCTGGTAAGATAGGGGCTCTGGAAGTGAAGCTGCTGATTTGTTGCATTTCAACATATGATGTGACCTAAAGACACACCATCAAGCGCACCGCCGCACGCGGCCACCTTCTCTCGGAAATCGCAAATGCCACGTGTCTGGTCGAACCATGTGCCAACAGGACAGTTCATCGAAAGCTGCGTTCTTCTGTCGTGACAAACCACAAATGATGCCGTGCACCCCTCGCTATGAGGTCCATCAGATAGGTAGGCGCAGAAGTCTAAAACGCGCTAGTTTCAGAAATAATTTAAAAAAAAACATGGTAAAGCTGACCAGGAGTTTGTTGCGAAGGCGCTTGCGTAGGTGAGGGCAAAATCGGTTCGCCTGGGTAGGTTTTGTCTGTGGGGACGCTGAAGGAGTGATCAGGACGCGTGTTGTCCATTTGCACTCCACCACATCCTACTACGGCTGCTGGATAGTCGCAGTAATGCTTCGTTTGATCGAACACCAAACCCTTAAAACGCGATTTAAATCAAATCGCTTACCAGTTCTTTACACAAAAAACCGTACCGCTGGACATTTCATCGGGTACGCGATACCGTGCACACATTTGATGAAATTTCCATTGCAATCCACAGCGTAATCGGAGCCGTCCACACAGCCAGTCTGCTGCGGCTGATATGCAGTGCTTGCGGCTGGCACAGGTGCTGGCACAGAAGGCTGCATTGGTTTCACATGACCTGCATGAGAAACTGGTACTGGCACAGGTGGATAGATCACCGGAGGCCGCTTCGTGGTTGTGCTAGTCGGCATAGCATGGGCTGGACTGAGGACAGGGACAGGTGGTACTGTAACAGGTGCAGTAGGTCTAGGGAAGTATCGCTGAGATGCAGTAGCAGGTGTCGGTGCTAATACTGGTATAGGCTCTGAAACAGTGAAATTACATCAATCAAATCGAAAAAGGAAATTGATACTTACCTAGAGGAACAGGTACAGGAACTTGTTCTGGCAGCCCACAAGTTTCTGAAGCCACACACTTGTTAGAACCGCTGTCGAACAGATCGCCAACAGGACATGCGGCCATCTAGACTTTTACATCGCAGTAACCAAAATATTGAAGTCAATACCACCTATCAACCTACCACTCCATCACCGACTGATTTACAGAAAATAAAATCTTGACGACAGAATCCAATTGAAATCAGTCCCGGCGATTGGGAACTGGTACAAGTGGTAGAGAAATTCGCGCTATTCGAATAACTACGCCGTTTGCGCGTTACCTCAGCGTCTCCAGAGCCCTAGAAAAAACATATGTGAAAAAAGGGAACACAACCTAAATGAACAGTCCTCACCTCAACATCATCTCCGTCTGGGAAAGTCGTGGTTTCGATGAATGAGGGAACACCTTCCACTGGAACTTTCTCGAGTTCGGCTTCATGCCCGCTCTTCATTTCCTGGTGATGTTCGCCATCTTCATGTGGAACTGCATCCTCTAGCAACATTCCATCGTTGGAACCCTACATCACAGCAAATTGCTTTCAAAATGACTCTAGCTAAGATAGTTTATTACTCACCGCGACAGCCGGAATCCCTTCAGTAGGGGTTTCAAGCAGTGAGGATATGTCGATTCCTTGCGGTCCGCGTAGCTCGTCAAAAAGATGGTCGCGATCCCTGCGACGGTCATGACGTCTCGGTACAAACACACGATCGATACCAGGAAGCAGCCAAGGACTGACGATACCGTCGAAGATGTCTCTTACAGGCACTCGATATCCGCCAGCTAATGCCGATCGGCTTTCGAAATTGATTGGGCCATGATTAACCTTATCCCTTCCATGCATTATGTCTTGGAATCCAAAAGGCAAGACCGGTGGGTAGAATATTCCGAACGGATTGTTCATAGCGCCGCCATAAGGAGGATAATGCATCGAATACTGTTGAGCGTGAGATGCTGATGCTTGGTAGCTGCTGCTCGGGGCTGAGTAGATTTCAGACGATGTGTAGACGGCATCAGTTGACACGGCAGGCATCATGGTTGTAGTTTTCACCTTAACAAAAGAAAAACTGAGGACATAGCCCACACCACGTCGTCTGAGTGGGTGTCACACCCGTTAGCTTTCTCGGACCAGACTAACTAAACGAACAATTGTACAATATGATGATCAACAATGCCAATTTTCCTTCAGTAGGCTCAACTCTTCACAAAAAAGTCTCGTGAGGTCAGACAAAATAGCAAAAAAATAGCTCGAAAGAGCATTAGGCTGGTATCAGGGTACGCGATCCGTCATGCGATAGGCGCGACAGATCACAGAAATCACAAGTTCCCCGATCACTAGTGTAGGGTGTTTCCCAATCCCGCTGGTAATGTTTGAATGACGAAGGTTCATGATTCTATTATGCTTGTTTCATGTTCAGTGTTTAAAATGTTCAAAGGAGCACTTGCAATTTTTGCGATTCTCGATTCGCGCGAATCGCGCGACGGATCGCGACTCTGGCACCAGCCTTACGCCATCTACCCTATGGTATGCTTATCAATACTCAGACGCCAAGATATAAAGTGTTAGGAAGCTGCCAACATTAGCACTTACTTGTTCAGGGGTGGCAGTGGTTATTCCCAGTTTTGTCTTGCATTCGGGAAGGTCATATACGCACAACAAAAAGGTTTCGTCGAACAGGGACTGTCCTGGACATTGCGCTGACTCCAACTTCCCATTTCTACAACGCCAGAATTTCGACGAACAGCGACCCATAGCGATGCTCGTCACACATTCGGCCTGAATTTGTTACCATGGGATCAAGGCAAACACAGACGAAATAACTCACTTCAACTGGAGCTGCACTGGCCGAAGACGACGAATGAGTATAGGTAACGCTAGATTGCACATGCGAACTCTCGGATTTCTTCACGTCATAGCGACTCACATCTTCAGATTCCGAGCTGCCGACAGCAGAGCCACTGCAGTCGTAATCGCAAAGCCCTCGAAAGAAATTTATGTTGTTACGGATCACTGACGAATGAATGAACTCATTCCAACTCTGTCACTAACAGTACCTTTCGCCTCATTATATACCAATCCGGCGGGACAGCCTCGAACATACGCTCGCCCCTCGCTGCACATTACGAACCTTTCGACACAGCCACCCAACGAATACTTTCCATTTGCACGGGTGGAGCAATCAAAACCTGAAATCGAAGGTCAGCTGAGTTCTAAGGACATTCTCAAAATGAATAACTGCAAACCATCAACAATGGACACCCTCGTGGACTCGCTCGCCTGACGAGCCGATGAAGCGGATTGGTACACCTTCACGGAATCGCTAGCCTGACGAACAGGCGAAGATGTTGAATGCATTCTTGGAGCGGATTGGTACACCTTCACGGAGTTGCTAGCCGGAGGAGCAGGCGAAGCTTTCGTATAAGTTCGTTTTGAGTCAGCAACCGAATGGACTGGTGCTGCAGTTGTGACCTTGCTCGGTTCACTATGTGCAACAACATTTCCACACTCAGAAGCCCATTCACATCTGAAACACTCGTAGTCAGTGTTTTAACCGCCGCCCATGGTTCACGATTCTACCATTTGGTGATTACCCCAAAAGACCGAAAAGACCGTCGAGACAGCCCATTGATAAATGTTCATTGGGCAGAAACATTTCAACTAGTGCACACCTACTCTTTCAGACTTGTCGCCCAATCACGTAAACGCCTTACCTCAGATCGATACCTATGCTTTCCTTTCGACAAGTCAAATCGCGCGAATTCGCGAACTATGAAAGGGGCCTAATACGGACTAAAAAATTACCTTCTTGATACGAAGGAATATAGCAACCCTTCAGGACAAATCGTTGAGTAGAGCGCTCCATTAACACAGAACGAGAACGATGGTCGACAGTCAGTGGAGTTCAGTGGTCCATCACTCCTTCCCGCGCATAGATCTTCTGGAATAAAACAAATCCGATGTGACAAAAAAAAGAGTGAAGCCTTGGTTCATACTTCCAATGGTAGAATGCTGGTATCGAACTACAGCTGATGCAGAACTTGAAGCGCCTTCATGCGATATGACGGCTTTTCGCTCTGTTGAATAGCTCGTAGCCTGACTAGTTGTGCTATGGGAGCTTACGCTAGCAGCAGACGCTGTTCCGCACGCCTCAGGATAGTCACACCTGGAAATGGAATGAAGAAGAATGGCTTATAGTTAAGCAATTCAAGATTTCAGCCCCTACAGCTTTCCTGCCACCGAGTAGACAAGACCGCCTGGACATTTTGTGACAAAGGAGACACCGTTCAAACAGGTCGTGAACTTGTGCTGACAGTCGGTCTCAGTGATGACGCCATCAGGTCGGCCTTTGCAGGACTCATCTTGAAAGCAGACAGTGACTTCACAAAACAGTAACAACTACGAATAATCAACCGACCTTTGTGAATAACTGTGCTTGGTACTGGTCGGGCCTCAGAACTTGCAACACTCTCTCCTTGCCTGCAGTTCTCTGGATAATCACAATACACCTTATCGGCATTGAATACCAAGCCGGCAGGACATTTTCCCATGAATTTTCGTCCACCTACGCAATTGAAGTACTCAGAAGAGCACGGTTTGGAGAAATAACCGTTAGTGTCGCATTCTGCAAAATCACACTGCCACTGAATTTTCAAAAATGACGTTACATTCAATCCAAAAGCAAATCCTCCACCTTGATCATCCTTCGCCCTCTCATTCGTTACTGGCTCATAGAACATTGGACCGCCAATAGCTTCGTGTTTCGGTGATCCCGAACAAGCGGATGGGACATCACAAATGCCAAGCGACTCGACAAACACCAAACCAGCGGGACAGTACAGACTGTATGCCTTACCGTCAACACACTGAATGAATTCGGCGATGCAACCGAGCGAATGTAGTCCATCATGCTTGCCAATACAATCTGAAGAACTTTTACACTGCTTCTCACGCTAGAAAGAAGCCGACTGAAAACTAAGCAACGAAGAGTTACCGTCGCGGGTCATTAGTGATGTATACGACGACGGAGCGGCATCAGAAGAGCTCTTCAAAACGGGTTCGAGACCGCATTCATGTGAATAGACGCAGCGGCTTTGCTTTGAGTCGAACACGAGATCTGCTGGGCATTCCATGAAGTAGCCAACTCCAGAGGAACATATCATAAACTTCGTGCCACATGGCGATCCGTAACGCCCATCGGGGAAGCTGGAGCATTCTGAAGAGAACCAGCGCAATGATCAGCATCACATAATACACAGAAGAGCAGCGAAACATACCGGAGGAAGAAGAGGCAGCAGGAGCAGTAGCGGCGGTCGAGGAAGCCGGAACAGGCGCGACTGTAGGCGTTTTCGGCTTATAGGCTTCACTCATTTTCGTAGTTGTGGCCTAAACAAGGCGAAACCATAGCAAATTCAGACCATGTAGTAGCTTGAAAGCACTATACTACACCCATAGACGACATTCTATTCTACATCCTATTCTTCGGCCGACGCCAAAGCACGGACATTTCATCCTCGCGCACAACTAACCTTTTCACCTTTGATACAAGCTTCTTTTAGATCGCAGTAACCTTCATTAGCGTTGAAAACTAAGTCTCCTGGGCATAGCTGGACATGAGCAGCACCGTTAGAACACATATAAAATTCCGATGTACAGCCGTTGGAATATGCACCATTGGGTTCCGGGCATACTGAACAGGAGCTGTGACAGCAAAAAAAGACAACCGCAAAAGAACTATGAAACTACCAAAACTGTATCCAGAAGAACTCGAGACCACGTCAGCCTTTTGAGACATCGCTGGAGTCATTTCCCTACCGGAGCAATTTTCCGGGTAGTCGCAGTAACCCTTTTCCACAATGAAAACCAATGAAGCCGGACATTTCTGAGTGCAAAGGTAAAAAGTGGATAATGTACAAAGAACTGAGAATATAAAGCACACAAGATAATAATGTAAGCCGGCTCCACAGCCCTTATGGCGTAATGTGAGGCATTTTTTGCAACAAAATAGGCACATCATCGTAATCCCGGTTCAATATATCAAGGTGGCAGAATTAAACTGCTCCTGCAAAAAGGTAGCTAGGTGAGTATAGATTCTTTGGACTTTTATTATGAGCGAGACTGTATGGAGTATTTCAAACGCCTCGGGTACTTAAAATCAAAATGCCCCATCTTGCGCCTAGCGCATTTTCAACATCAAAATCTTACCATAAACGTAGCTATACCCTCACTGCAGAACACAAATTCTGATGAACAACCGTTCGCGTAGTAACCGTCTCTACGACCAGTGCAATCGAAAACCCTGAAAGAGCTTCAGACAGAATTTTAAAAAAAGCATCGAGCAGCAGCAATGTGTGCCGTGATTTCAAACATTCTGGTATTCCATAAACTCCTCGCCAGTACTATGGTTGATGAACAAATCCTACTGAGAAAAGAAAAAGCTTCTGCTTTTATGAAAAACGGTTGGTGGTCTTGCACCCAAAGCTTCTCTCTTTCCGATGGGCTAGCGCAAAAACCCTCATCCCTTTAGCTGCCCGTGTGCTCTGCACCAACATGCCTTCCACCCGTTAGGCTACATGGCGACTACACGTTAAACCTGAGATCTTACTCACATCTGAGATGGCGCCGAAGTAGAAGGTGAATGCGATGGAATGCTGGAAACACTTCTGGCTTCAGTCAATGAAGACTGCACTGAAACATCTGAAGTCGTATAAGAGACGACCGGAAGCAGGCGAAGATTTCGGTGGAGCAGCAGGAACAGGGACAGCCGGAGCGGTACCAACGGAGCAGTTCTCCACGTAATCGCAGTATCCTTTCCGCTCATTGAACACGAGTGATGTCGGACAAGTCTGAAAGTGAACAGCCTCATATACGAAAGCAAGGGAACCGTTCCTTACATCCCCACCATTGGAGAGGCAACTCCATCAATGCAGTACACAAAGTCTGGCACACAACCATCAGAGTAGTAACCGTCCTTCCTTCCCTTGCAATCAATTGACCTGGGAATAAGCCTTTCAATAAAAAGAGGAAAGGCGTAACAAGCCAGAGACTTACGATGATTGAACAGATGCGTAGGCCGCGGAAACAGAAGACCGCGCTGCTTCAGCCAGTGCCGGAACAGGGGCGGCCGGCGCTGGAACGGGTACCGCTGGGGCTGGTGGAGCCTGAGCTGGCCCAATGGAGCAGTTCTCCGGGTAGTCGCAATATCCTTTCCTCTCGTCGAACACAAGTGAAGCAGGGCACGTCTGAAAAAGAATACAGCTTCATAAGCAGAAGATGGGAAACCTTTCTACATATTCCAACCATGGGAGACGCATTTCCACCAACACAGTACACGAAGTCGGACACACAGCCATCAGAATAGTAACCGTCCTTCTTTCCATTGCAATTAAATGACCTGGGAAAGCTTCTTCAGGAGGAAATGAAAGGGTAATCGTAGCAAGCCGAAGACTTACGACGATCGAACAGATGTGTAGGTTGTGGTGATAGAAGACTTCGCTGCCACTGCTGAAGCCGCAAGAGGCACAGGAGCTGGTAGAGCCGGAGCTTGGCCAATGGAGCAGTTTTCTGCGTAGTCGCAATATCCTTTCCTCTCGTTGAACACAAGCGAACGTTGGGCAAGTCTGAAAGTAAAACAGTTTCAGAATGTGAGCGCCAAGACGCCAGGAGACCGTTATTCATGAACGCACCATTGGAGAGGCAACTCCATCAGCGCAGTACACGAAATCGGGCACACACCCATCTGAGTAATAGCCGTCTTTCCTGCCCTTGCAGTCAACGGACCTGAGGAAGATTTTGATAAAGCAATTTGAGAACACAAGTGGTAACCCAAAGACTTACGAGGATCGAATGGATGTATAGGTTGCAGCAATCGACGATTTCGCTGGGACAGCCGGAGCAGGAACAGGGGCAGCTGGAGCGAGTGGAACTGGTGCAGGTACGGCCGGAGCTGCTCCAACAGAGCAGTTCTCTGGGTAGTCGCAGTATCCTTTCCTCTGGTTATACACAAGCGAAGCCGGACACGTCTGAAAGAGAAGCAGCTCCATATTTTGGATGCTAGGAAACCGTTTTACATTTCTACCATAGGAGAGGCAACTTCCATCACTGCAGAAGACGAAGTCGGGCGTACAACCATCGGAGTAGTAACCGTTCTTCCTTCCCTTGCAATCAACTGACCTAGAAGGAATCATTCGAAAAGGCAAGAGAAGGGTGACTGCAGCAAGCCAAACACTCACGATGACTGAACAGACGCGTAAGTTGTGGAAACAGAAGATCGCGCTGCTACAGCCGGTACCGAAACAGGGGCGGCCGGTGCCGGAACAGGGGCGGCCGGCGCCGGAACGGGCACCGCTGGAGCTGGTGGAGCCCGAGCTGGCCCAATGGAGCAGTTCTCCGGGTAATCGCAATATCCTTTCCTCTCGTTGAACACAAGCGATGTTGGGCAAGTCTGTAAGGAAAGCAGCTTCAAGTAGTGGAGGCAAGGATACCGTTCTTACCCCCTACCATTGCAGAGGCAATTCCATCGACGCAGTACACGAAGTCGGGCACGCAGCCATCGGAATGGTACCCATCCTTTCTTCCTTTGCAATCAATGGACCTGTTAAGGTTCTTTTAAAAAAGCAATTAAGGGGTACACATTGTAAACCAAACACCTACAATGAATGAGTAGATGTGTAGGATGTGGAAATCGAAGATCTTGCTGCAACAGCTGGTGCCGGAACGGGTACAGCTGGAGCGGGTGGAGCCGGAGTAGGCGCGACCGGGAGTGCGCCAACGGAGCAGTTTTCTACGTAGTCGCAGTACCCTTTCTGTTCGTTGAACACGAGCGAAGTTGGGCACGTCTGAAAGGAGAGCAGATTTGTATGATGAAAGCTAGAGAACCTTTCAGTTCGATACATTCCAACCATTGGAGAAGCAACTCCATCAACGCAGTACACGAAATCGGGCACACACCATCAGAGTAATAGCCGTCTTTCCTGCCCTTGCAATCAATAGACCTGGAAGAGTATTTAATAATGCAATTTAGAAGCACAAGTGGCAACCTAAATACTTACGAGGATCGAGTAGATGTATAGGTTGCAGCAATCGACGATTTCGCTGGGACAGCCGGAGCAGGAACAGGGGCAGCTGGAGCGAGTGGAACTGGTGCAGGTACGGCCGGAGCTGCTCCAACAGAGCAGTTCTCTGGGTAGTCGCAGTATCCTTTCCTCTGGTTATACACAAGCGAAGCCGGACACGTCTGAAAGAGAAGCAGCTCCATATTTTGGATGCTAGGAAAACCGTTTTATACATTTCTACCATAGGAGAGGCAACTTCATCACTGCAGAAGACGAAGTCGGGCGTACAACCATCGGAGTAGTAACCGTCCTTCCTTCCCTTGCAATCAATTGACCTGGGGAAGAGTGCTTTAAAATGAAACCAAGAGGGTAATCAAAGCACGCCAAATCCTTACGATGATCGAACTGATGTGTAGGTTGCAGAAATTGATGATCGAGCTGGAACGGCTGGAGCAGGAACAGGAATAGCTGGAGCAGGTGGAGCAGCTGCAGGAACGGCATGAGCTGTTCCAACGGAGCAACTCTCTACGTAGTCGCAGTACCCTTTTCTCTCATTGAACACAAGCGACGTTGGACAAGTCTAAAGAGGAAAAAGCTTCATATACGAAAACTAGGGGACCGTACTTTACATCCTACCATAGGAGAGGCAACTCCATCAATGCAGTATACAAAGTCTGGCACACAACCATCAGAGTAGTAACCATCCTTCCTTCCCTTGCAATCAATTGACCTGGGGAAGAGTGCTTTAAAATGAAACCAAAGGGTAATCAAAGCATGTCAGACCCTTACGATGATCGAACTGATGTGTGGGTTACAGAAGTTGATGATGGTGCTGGAACGGCGGGAGGAACAGCTGGTGGAGCCGAAGCTGGACCAATGGAACAGTTCTCCGCGTAGTCGCAGAACCCTTTCCTCTCGTTGAACACAAGCGATGACGGGCAGGTCTGAAAGGGAAGCAGCTTCATAAACGAAAGTTAGAGAAAAATTCCATACACTCCTACCATGGGAGAAGCAACTCCATCAACGCAATATACAAAGTCTGGCACACAACCATCGGAGTAATAACCATCCTTCCTTCCCTTTGCAATCAATGGATCTGAGAAAAAACGAGTTGAGAAGAAAGTGAAAGGGTTCTCGTAGCGAGCCAAACACTTACGATAGTCGAACAGATGTGTAGGTTGCTGTAAACGATGACCTTGCCGAAACAGCCGGTGCCGGAAGGGGTACAGCTGGAGCTGGTGGAGCCGAAGCTGGACCAATGGAACAGTTCTCCGGATAATCGCAATATCCTTTCCTCTCGTTGAACACAAGCGATGTTGGGCAAGTCTGTAAGGAAAGCAGCTTCAAGTAGTGGAGGCAAGGATACCGTTCTTACCCCCTACCATTGCAGAGGCAATTCCATCGACGCAGTACACGAAGTCGGGCACGCAGCCATCGGAATAGTACCCATCCTTTCTTCCCTTGCAATCAATGGACCTGTTAAGGTTCTTTTGAAAAAGCAATTAAGGGGTACACATTGTAAACCAAACACCTACAATGAATGAGTAGATGTGTAGGATGTGGAAATCGAAGATCTTGCTGCAACAGCTGGTGCCGGAACGGGTACAGCTGGAGCGGGTGGAGCCGGAGTAGGCGCGACCGGGAGTGCGCCAACGGAGCAGTTTTCTACGTAGTCGCAGTACCCTTTCTTTTCGTTGAACACGAGCGAAGTTGGGCACGTCTGAAGAGATCTACTTCATATAAGGGAAGCCAAAGAACCTTCCTAAGTTCTGTACATTCCTACCATTTTAGAGGCAACTCCATCAACGCAGTACACAAAGTCGGCAACACAACCGTCGGAGTAGAAACCGTCTTTCCTTCCCTTGCAATCAATTGACCTGAAGGTATCTTCCAAAAGGCAATCAAGGGATACGCCTGGCTTATCAAAGCCTTACGAGAATCGAGTAGATGTGTAAGTTGTCGAGACCGAAGATCTTGATGAAGCAGCCGGTGCCGGAGCAGGGATGGACTGCGTCGGAACGGGTACAACTGGAACGTATGGAGCCGGAGCCGGGTCGACCGGGACTGGTCCAACGGAGCAATTCTCTACGTAGTCGCAATGCCCCTTCCTTTCGTTGAATACAAGCGAAGTCGGACAGGTCTGTAGCGAGACAGCTTCAAGTAATGGAGGCAAGGATATCACTCTTTACACACCTACCATTGGAGAAGCAACTCCATCAACGCAGTACACAAAGTTGGGCACACAACCTTCAGAGTAAAAACCATCCTTCCTTCCCTTGCAATCAATGGACCTAGGAAAACTTTAAAAGTGCAATTTAAGAATACAATTGGCGAGTCGAAGACTTACGACGATCGAGAAGATGTGAAGGCTGCAGAAATCGACGACCTCGCTGCTACAGCCGGTGCCGGACTGGAGACAGCTGGAGAGGGTGGAGCCGGAACAGGGACGACCTCGAGTGGGCCAACGGAGCAGGTTTCCACGTAGTCGCAGTACCCTTTCCTTTCGTTGAACACGAGCGAAGTTGGGCAGGTCTGGAAGGAATTAGCTTTCTATAATGGAAGCTAGCGAGCCTTCTTCAGTCCAATACATTCCTACCATTGGAGAAGCAACTCCATCAATGCAGTACACAAACTCGGGCACACAACCATCGGAGTAATAACCATCCTTCCTTCCCTTGCAATCAATGGATCTGTGAAAGAGATTTTCGATAAGGCAATCAAAGAGAACGCGTTGCAAGCCAAAGACTCACAAAGAACGAGTAGACGTGTAGGTTGCAGTGAACGAGGACCTCCCAGATGAAGCCGGAGCCGGAACAGGGACAACAGGAGCAGGTGGAGGCAGCGGTGCGGTTGGAGCTTGTCCAGCCGAGCAACTCTCCACATAATCGCAATATCCCTTCCTTTCGTTGAACACAAGCGAAGTGGGGCAAGTCTGAACACAAAAATCAAGTTTGATCTCTACTAAATATGTAAGGTTTTACCATCGGAGCAGCTACACCATCAAGGCAGTGAACAAACTCAGGTGAACATCCGTTCGAGTAATAGCCATCCTTTTTTCCTTTACAGTCGATACTTCTGAAAGAGGAAACTGTTGGTGAACAACTTGCAACGAATAAGCACAATGAGAAAGGGACGCACGATAGAATAGGCATAGCGTCGTCTGATGCAAACGACGACTGAGGTGGTCCATCTGGAACAGGGACGGCAACGGCTGCATCTACTTTTGCGGAACAATTCTCAGAATAGTCACAATATCCTTGCTTCTCGTTGAAAAGAAGGCCGGGTGGGCACCTCTGCGAGACATGAGCTCATCTGGCATAATAGAATGTTATGAAAAAGAGAAAAATGCACCATGAGCGTAGCTACTCCCCGTTCGCAAGAAACGAACTCGACAGAACACTTTTCTGCATAGAATCCATCTTTACGCATGGCACAGAATGATGGCCTCAAATAGTGCTATGTGCTAAAAGTCGCTTTGAGGTACTTCACCCAAAAAGCCAACTTACGAAACAGATTTTGACGGTTCGCTGTAAGATTGCCGTTGCATGCCATGAATGGATGACTGTGCATCCTGCCGGGACTGTGATTTTGAAGCGTTGTCTAAGGCGCAGTCCTCAGGATAGTCACAATAACCCTTCACCTCGTTGAAAACCAAAGAAGATGGGCATTTCTAAATACTCACACTACATAAAAAAGCTCTTGTAAATTCAAGTTAATACCATACCATCGGTTGCGCTATTCCACCATTGCAGAACAAAAAATCAGAGGAGCACCTGCCATAGTAGCCATCAGGACGCGAGGAACAATCAGTAACGCTAAAATAGTAGCTATCTTGATCAATTTCTTACTTCCAGAACATCACATTCCATGACGAGATAAACTGACACAACAGACTAACAGCTAGATGGATCGCTGCAAACCACTCTGGGTGTACGTTGGTAACGGGTGTAGCTAATTTTGCGCGCTCCGCAACGCGAAACATTTTTGGTTGCGAGAACCTCAGGTCCACCTCTGAGGTCTCCGGACATCTGTCAACCGTGAGGCTAGGCAATTCAGCGTTTTGTTGTGCTGTCTGGGAGCTCTCACACAAGCGCACTATCACAGAATCTCCGCTTTCTTTACCTCCTTCAAAAGGCTTAGTCCCACTACCACAAAAACGTCTGCTTTTCCTTCTACACTCTCACCCCTGGTTGACAGAAGCCTTGTAACCCACCTCTGATATCAGTGGACCCGAGGTTCCCGCAGCGAAAAATTAGTGGACCCGAGGTTCCCGCAGCGAAAAATGTTTCGCGCTGCGAAAAATGAAAGTCGCTATTGCCCTAGAGAACCACTCCCGATGGTAACTACTGCCGCAGCAGACGACTTATTAGATCCACTTCACGTTAGTTAGATAGGCGAATTCGAAAAATATTAAAATCTGCAAAGAGTTGGTAGGTAATGAATCTGTTTCTCTACCCTAACCACGAAAACTATTGGCGCGGGTACAGAACATGTGCGACTGGTGTCACAGCCGAATGGTACAAAGGTTCCGACAAGGTCGCGTGGTACTCAGTGACTCACTTATACATCATCGAACGAAATTCTGAAGCGTCGAACCATCATTTTCTATAAAAACTATTAGATAGTACGTCTTCGTATTCACTATTTCACTCGTACGTTAAAGCCAAGCTGCCAAAATGGAGATCCTATGAAAAGGATCAGTTCCGAATAGATTGGATGATTCACTCCTCTGAGCATTTTGGAGATTCCGTGACTTGTCTAAAGCGTACCGCCGCGCGTTTTGCTTCAGATCGCTACTTTCTCCCATTCAGTACTTATCCAGCCTTTCCGGTCATTCCGAATCGTCGAACCTCCGAGAAAAAGACGATATGTATGAACGGGACCTAACGGTCACGTTGCGAACCGCTTCGTAACCTCAGAACTTTGCCACAAACCTCACAAAAAGGTGATTGTGGTCCCTGTTACCAGCTATAATCGGTAAGGAAGTCAACATTATGAAAATTACCTTGCTATAGATGAACTACATTCGGGAACACTCGTCACAGGAGTACATTTCCCACTACCGCCGAAAACTTCGCCGGGAGCACATTCAGCCAACTGGGCAACTCCGTCCACACAGTAAACATACTAAATCAAAGGATATTACAAATGGAGTGGAGGGTTTGAGAAGGTTACCTACCTGCTGATTGCAGCCGCCCAGTGAATGAGCACCATTAGCCTTTTCTTTGCAGCTCTGTGACAAATCAGTGACGTGTGCGTAACCTCCAATTTCTAAAAGGGAACACATAAACCATGGACAGTGCAAATACACCAATACTTGAAGCCTCACACTTACTTGCATACGATTTCATTGCCACTGGCGCATATGTTGGTACGAGGAGGGGTGGACGAGTGACTGGTTCCCGTTGAACTTCCGGATGGCCACCACATGCTCGAACTCGGAATTTGTGATCACACTGGAACAGTTAAAACCTGACGGCGAAAATTCATGTATAGACAGATTTCAGAGCATTCCGTGAGCGCGGCACTGGCGTTCTGGTGACACCCTTACCGTCTGACGCGATTAACGCCTGATTACAGGACGGGAACAGCGGTGAGTTAAACAATAACTGCTTACGAGCACACTTAAAGCGGCTTTCTCGCACACAGCAGCTAGAAAGGACAAGTGTACTTGGAGGGGGTATCACGGCGAAAAACTTCGTCACGGCAGAAGTTACTTAAGTTAATAACTCCATTTTTCGCAGGAGAGGAAGCTTCTGAGTGGGGGAATCAGTTTGCTTGTGCAACGGGGGAACTAAGAGAGTACGAAAGAAAATGTATGGTTACAAATGCGCTAAAGCTCTGCGCCACGATGCCCATAAACTACACATGAACCTGCCACAACACGTGTTCATTAAAGCTCACTCTATGATTGGGTCAAACCGCAGCCATTTGGCTACCCAGCACCGCTACCAGCAAATAGTCGGGCTTTACCCAACGATGTAGGGGAAGCAGCAGGGGTGCCGCCTACAAAAATTCCAGCGTGTAAACAAATCGCTTACGCTCTTACGTACAACCCTTGGGCTTCCTTCACCTGCGCAAGTTGGGTGAAACTCGGGTTCGGGGGGGGGGGCACGCGATGGCGCGGCGCTGTTTTCGTCTGCTCTACCAAGGCTTAGTCACCGATGGCGCGTATTTTGAAACTGCCACATAATGGCGAAAGAGTAACTGTCCCTGTGGACTAAGCCTTGGAGGAGCAGACGAACAGAGCGCCGCGCCATCGCGTGCCCCCCCCCCCCGAACCGAGTTTCACCGCAAGTTGGATTACTTTAGGATGCAATGTCGCTCCACCAGCTTTCTCGACTGGATGAGACCCAAGCAACACTACCCACTATACAAGAACACCGCTGACTTATATGGATACAGTTCGCTAATCACCTAATCAATACTGCCAGCCACTACGAACGAACCAACCTGCTGGGCTTAGGGCCCAAAAAATTTGTGAGAAAGCACTTACCGTTCTCCTATCGACGTCGTAAAACAATCCATTCTGGCAAGTACTCATATGAACGATACCATTACTGCAGAAAAAGAACGTTGAAGAGCATCCAATCGTATAAGCGCCATCTTCACGATTGACACAGGTAACCTCCGCTCGTGCTATACAATGCATCATCTGCGACTGCACCACAAACTAATACGGCTATGTAAAATACCTGCACATCCTGACACATTGCTATCAAAGTCACATTGATTACTGTCGGGATTGAAAACTAGTCCCCGAGGACATGTCTTTATAGTTACTTGGCCATTATAGCAATGATTGAATTCATTTGAACACGGTGAGGTGGCATATACACCATTAACACGACCATCGCAATCACGATCAACACCAAGACCTGGAAGGACCGACTAGGGCAGAGGACCAGAGCATATTGGAGAGGAAAAAGAAAGAAAAGAAGAAATGAATAAAAAAGCCGTACCAACTGCTAACCCAACAAGGGTTAGTAGTACGAGTGTCTTCATGTGTGAATGGATGAGTAGGTGAGTGGCCGGGCTTTGACGAACAACACGCTCCGGCAAGTGATATGATGACACTAAACTTCTCGAAGGCTCTTCCGGGGCCCTCCCATTTCGATCTACTCGATCCCCAATGCGCGCCAATTTCGACTACGGTATATGGGACCAGAGCGGTCCTGAACTTTCCTATGCTAAAGCCCCGGGCTGACATTGCGCTTGTCTAAGCTCGCAAAGCGTTTGGGAGTCATTTGAGGCTTATTCGCACACAAGAAAGCCCTTATAGCTTAAGGAGAGACCCGATCGTTGGGGCGCGCACGAGCGACCAAAATGATCTGATCGGGTCGAAATATTGATAAATTGATACCGCGGTCGGATTGTGGAGTCCACTTCCACAACGCTAGTCCTGCCAGTATTTTCTGGCAGTATATCTTCTTCATGAAACTTACTGCAGAGTAAGATTATGGAATCACAGGTAGTCACAAACTAGGATCATAGAATATTTATTTCCGACAAATTTAACAAATCGCTCTACACTAACAAGGTAATAATTTTACAATACATAAAATTGACATCAACACAAAATGAACACATTTAAAGTTATCAGTGGCTACTGCGTTATTGAAGACGACAGGAGCGCGGTGCGTCTGCGCCATGAATGCGATTGATGGGCAGGATCAACCGTTGGTTGGGCAGGATTTTTGAGTTAATACGATCCTTCGCTAGAGGTGCATCTCCATTCTATCCCCATATGGCCATAGCCTTTTCTATGGTCATCTATTGCGGTCCTACTTCAAACCTCACTTCGGTATAAAAGTAGTTGGGGAGCCACTTCACTGTGTCGTCACTAAGGCTAAGTATCAGGATATAAGCCTTCCAGTTCTTATCAAAAAAATTACTCCATAAAAGCCTGCTGTCAAAAACCTCCCTCAAGACTAGCGAAATTAAACTAGAGATGCAGAGCACAATGAAGTGGTCCCCCCAGCTCGGCTTTCAACCCTTTCATTTCTAGAATTCTCATCGAGTGGTGGGGTATGTATGCTATAACTGCTGGACCTAAAAAATGTGAGTTCTCGAAATTTTCTGCAAACTGATTTTTTCACATCATGAAAATTCTTATTTCCAGATTATCCGGTACCAGCTCCACCATTGACGCGAACCACCTTTACAGGAATCACAAATCCCACCCCCTCGCCAACCTTCTCGGACGGATGGTTGACCCTGTTCTGGTGGATTTCTCGCCGGCCTTACACACTGACGCAAAACTCACCGCGCTCACCTTAACCTCCTATCTGCACATTTGCTGAATGAGGCCGTTGCACCTTTACTCCTTACTGAAGCATCCGAAGCTGAACGGCATTCCCGAAGCGAACAGCTGAAGTGAGCGATGTTGAGGACTTATTGTCGATGAATATGGTTTACGAGACGGATAAGAAGTTTTAGCGCTATTGCCATATGCGGGGGCGTTGTGGTGGTAGTGCATTTGAGACCGCGTAAAACATGTCTTTTTGTTAAAAATGAGACTGAGCCTTAGGCAGGGAGGAGAGACTCCAAAATGCGTGAGCCATTTTCATTTTCCCTGGAACCTGCGTCCCTTTCTAGGCTTAGTCCTACATGATGCCCCCGTATATTGCGATAGCGCCAAAATTTGGTTAAGCGTGTAATTCTCAGCCATTTGTGAACTTACTGGAGTGAATGGAAGTTGACTTAGTTGCAGGGTTCGATCCTGTGCGAGACGTTTGCATTTGTATCGACGATTTTGGAACCAAATTTTAACCTGAAACACTTTGAGAATAGGAAAAAGTCTACTTTGTCAAAGTCTGAGGCTATGGATTTTGCCGTCACAACCTGTCTTTTTCAGGAATAATGCTCTTGCATCATTCTGTGGTGCAAAGGTGGTTCAGTAGTAAATGGCGTCGCTTCAGCACCATTTACATCGTACGATTTTCTTTCCGCCCAGAAGAATTTTGCCAACTGGCCGCTCCTCAGGGGTGGAAGATTTGGCCGGACTGAACGGCGTACAAGCCAGGATTTGATTCCCAGACCGCACGAGCGATAAGCGGCAACAACATGGTTTCAACACTCTAGAAGGCGATGAAACCATCTTGAAAGGCTACTACTTTAGAAGTCGTTTAGGTGGGCCAATTCTTGTGCGAATGCCAATTTTCAGATTTCAAATAATCATACTCTTCTTCCAGGGTGGTGGTGTCCGTTCCTCCAAGTGGTGCCACTGGGAACTGCTCACTTTTGTGAGCTGAGCTGAACACGGACATTCGAATGCAGGCGACAGGCCCCCGTGACAGGCCGGCCTACGAACACCCACGTCACATCACAAATGTCATGTCGCTAAATGAATCTCGAGATAATGCTACGGCGTCCGCGGGAGCCGACGCGCACTCGCAAAGCCCGGCGAGTGTGAAAAGTATGCGAGGGTCTCCGGTGCAAGGACGGCATCGGGGGGCAACTAGGCTAGTCCAAAAGTCCCGCAACGTATGGAAGACTCGCGTTGCGACGTTAAATGTTGGCACGTTAACGGGCCGCTCGTACGAGTTAGCAGAAGCTCTAGAGCGCCGACGAATTGATTTCTGTGCCGTGCAGGAAACGAGGTGGTCCTGCTGCAAGTCGAGGGACATTGGCCGCGGCTTCAAAGCCGTTCTCTGTGGCGGTCCCAAACCACCAATGGCGTCGGGATGATTGTCTCTGAACGCTTCCGTGATTCGATAGTGAGCGTGGAGCGCTTCGACGACCGCTTAATGAAGATCATTGTCGTCATCGAACAACAAAAATACCACTTCTTCTCTGCGTACGCTCCGCAGACTGGATGCTCCGAGCAAGCCAAGGACAAGTTCTGGAACCTGCTTGATGAGAAGACAGCTGAGGTACCGTCACAAGAAGCCATAATTGTTGCAGGTGACCTCAATGGTCACTTGGGCGCTACGAAAGACGGTTATAACTGTCATGGTGGTTTTGGATATGGGACACGTAATACTGATGGCGAGCGAATTCTTGAATATGCGGAATCGCATAACCTCGCCATTGTAAACACAAAATTCCGGAAACGTGAATCCCATCTTATCACCTTTTATAGCGGTAAAACCAGATCACAAATTGACTTCGTCCTTGTCAGGCACCGCGATCAAGGGCTCGTAACAGACGCTAAGGTAGTACCTTATGAAACGGTCGTCACACAACACCGACCACTGATCTGCACGCTGAAGATCGCCTCCGCCAAAACAGAAACTGGCTGAAAGGTGTGGGCCAGCGAGAATCAAGTGGTGGCGACTGAAAGGAAAAAGAAGCGGCCGTCGTTTCCGCATTCGATTACCAGCGGTAACGACTGTCGACGAAACTTGGAAAGGTGCTGCCGAAGAAATAACTCGGATAGCTCGATCCGAGCTCGGCGTTACGAAGCCTGGACGTCGGAGAATTGACAAGCAAACGTGGCTGTGGACGGACCAGGTCAGAGAGAAAGTGCGTGAGAAGAAGAAGCGGTACCACGCTTTTCTAAAGGAAAAGACAGCTGATAACTGGCGGAGCTATGTGATAGCAAAGAAAGAGGCAAAAAAGGCCGTCGCTTCCGTAAAAGCAGCTCATTTTCGCTGATGTCAACGAAAAACTCGAGTCGCGTGACGGAGAGCGGTACGTTTACCGACTCGCAAATTCCCGCCATCGCCAGACCGAGGATATAGAAAAGTTCTTTGGCATAAATGACGAAGATGGCCAGCTTTTGACGGATCGCAAGAAAACATTGAAGCGATGGCACGACTACTTCGAAAGCATCTCAACAGTTGAATTTGCCCATCCTGCCATCCCTCTTGCTCCGCCAGTACACGGTCCCGTTCAGAAGATAACCGTGGAGTGAGACCATAACGGCTTTGAAGAAGATGAATCAGGCAAAGCAACTGGTCCCTGACGACCTAGCGGCGGACTTGTGGAAATCAAAGTGCTGGAATCCTGCAGAATGGTTGACGGAGTTCTTCAACCAGATCGTTGCAGAGAAGAAGGTGCCTGAGAGCTGGCAACAAAGCACGACGATTCCCATCTGGAAGAAGAAAGGCAGTCCTGGAGACTGCACTAGCTACCGTCCAATTCGCCTGCTCTCGCACAGCATGAAAATCTTTGAGCGAATTGTAGACAGTCGAATCCGGGACATCGTTGATCTGACCACCAACCAGTGTGGTTTCGTGGCTGGCTGCAGCACCATCGATGCCATCCACGCCGCTCGCCTCTTGCTAGAGAAACATCGCGAAAAACAAAGACCGGTGCATTTGGCCTTCCTAGACTTGGAGAAGGCTTTCGATCGCGTTCCGCGTGAGGTTATATGGTATGCCTTACGGCAACATGGCGTTCCCGAAGAGCTTATTGAGTGGGTGCGCATCCTCTACTCGAGTCCAAAGAGCCGAGTGCAAACGGCAGCAGGCACATCGATGGATTTTCCCATCTCTGTCGGGGTACACCAAGGCTCTGCGCTGTCCCCACTCCTATTTGTTGTCGTCATGGATGCCATTTCGAGAGACATTCAGAAGCCGGTTCCATGGACGCTTCTTTATGCTGATGATGTAATGCTCGCCAGCGAAGATAAAAACACTCTCGAGCAACAAGTGCAAACCTGGTCCGACCGCCTGGCTATGTTCGGGCTCAGGTTGAACGTCAAAAAGACCGAGTACTTGACCACCGATCCGTGTGAGCCAGGCTCTATTCAAGATCAATGGTACTGAGCTCACACGTACAACAACATTCAAGTATCTTGGATCAGCAATCGCGTCTGACGGCAGCCTGGCTTCTGAACGAATTCTCGCGTGAGTGCAGCGTGGTCGAAATGGCGCTCAATGACTGGCGTTCTGTGCGATAAGAACATACCAGAACGTCTCAAATCTAAGATCTATAGAACCGTCATCCGGCCAGTCGCGATTTACGGTGCCGAATGCTGGCCTGCGACTAAAGAAGTCGAAGCCCGTCTCAGTGTGATGGAGACGAAGATGCTGCGTTGGACAGCTGGAGTCACTCGACTAGACCACATTCGAAACGAAGTCATCAGAGAACGATTCGGTGTGGCTCCAATTGCCGACAAGATGCGCGAAGCCCGTCTTCGATGGTACGGTCATGTTCTTCGCGCGAAAGATGACAGTGTCCGTAAGATCGGTCTCAACCTTGACGTGCCCGGAAAGCGGCCTAAGGGACGCCCGAAACAGCGCTGGCTCGATACGTTGCACACAGACTTGAAGTCGGTTAACATCCACCCCGACCAAGCATTTAATCGGGAAAAGTGGCGTCAGCACATCAGAAAAGCGGACCCCGCCAACAAGCGGGACAAACGCTGAAGAATAAGAAGAAGAAGAAAATCTTCTACCAGATCGCTTACATGCAGCACGGTTCTGCAGCTATTGGGCTTGAGCAAGTTAGAGGTTATGCTTTTTTACAAATTGACACCGGACGTCCCCTGGAAGCGGTACCCTGATTCCGCAAAAGTATCCAGCTTAGAAGTTTTTTAGTCCCAGTTTCTATCCACAAAAGTCGATTCCGCCGCTGGACCTCGTCATGTAGGGGTGGAAGGTTAAACCCTCAAATGGAATCTGTTCCATTTATTTCATCCAAAAGCAAGGGCGGAAGTGGTATAGTAGCAATGGGGCTGCTTACCATGCTCATGCTCCGTGGATCAAACCAGATCGCACCTCAGCCAGTCCCATGTATTACATCCCTTTGGTGAACTCTCTCCCCTCCCCCTCCCACTCCTCATTTACTAACTCAGGGGATCAGATACGATTGCCATCTTAGGAATTTTCCAGCGATTGTCTGACCCTGTCCAGAAAAGTCGTTTAAGATATTAAGCGCCTTTTTAAAATGGTTTGTTGCATTCCATAGAAGGATGTGCGTGGAGCGAGCCCGAAACTGATGGTAATTTTCTCTTAGTAGCCCTGGGATGGCAGGAATAGGGTAGACAATTCCCTTTGAGAAGTAAAACTTCTCCATTTTCAATAAACTCTGCAGTTTGTAACGGTGAACAGTTGCATTTTGGAAGCCTTGATCGTGAAAGTTCAGACGCATAGGAGCCCAAGAAAAGAGAAATT